GGGAATATTGTCTGCCATGGAGGCAGGGGGAGGGTGGGAAAGGGGGCTATACAGGGGATATTGGTTGTGGGGAATGTGCACTGGTAGAGGGATGGGTGTTTGATCATTGTGTGATTGCAACCCAAACATGAAAGCTTGTAACAATCTCAGGGTGATCCAATAAAATTTAAAAAATAAAAATAAATAAATTAAAAAATATATTTGCAGATGACATGATACCAAATTTAAAGAATGCTAATGCCAGAAAGCACCTAGAAACAATATCTTTGTAGAGTCGCAGGTTAAAATATCAATATGCAAAAGTACATGTATTTCCTATATACAAATAATGAAAGACAATAGAGTGATATTAAAAATACATTTGATTTTAGAACATGTTATTTTTGATATTTTATAATTTATATATTTCTTGAGCCCTCTGACAGGTCATATTGGTTCATTCCTCCCTCTTTGTTTTATTTAGCTTTAAAACTATAGTCTGTTAGCATGCATATATGTACATAAAATTATTAATTCTTCTAACCTTCCTAAAATCAATATTGGTAGGCTCACTCCTAACTAGGACAAAAGAAAACAGGGTGGACTCCTTTAAAAAAAATCTCCAAATTGACTGTTTCCCTTTTCACGTAGGTCAAGTTGAGAGTGGAATCAATGGAATTAATGAACAACAAGCATACTTCCCAGTCCAATTAAGCTTGCCCTTGGGGGAAAAAAGTCCCTAACCTATAGACTATTATTGTAACATTTATGGGGTCTCACATTGTTTCTTATAATTCCTGGATCCTCTATGTAACCCCTGCTACAACTGGTAACTATTGAAGATGCCATAGCTATTGGGCATCGTGCCCAAGCCATGCTGACTCTGATAGCTTGCTCTGCTCCCTCAGCACCACCAGCAGTTTGTGTACCAGCTTCTCAGTATTCTCTGCAGGTACTGCTTCTTCTGGCACTCAGAAATAATCCACTTCAAAGCCAAAAAGATGCTCTAGGCACATAGTGACCTGGTAGAAATGGTCACGGTTGATGAATATCAACTCTTCAGATCCAAAGCTGGATTTAAGGGGTTGATAGAAGTATCCAATGTAGGAGTTGCATTCAAAGGCTTATTCCGCAAAAAAGCAAAACGTTACTTCTACAACTGCTTCGTTTGTTAACTAACCTATATTCTACTGGGGTTTCTGCACCAGTACTGTGTTTCTTCCTTACAATGATGCATCTTAGTTAAATTACTGATCACTCTTAGATTCAAAGTTAATTTTATTGCTTAGGCAGCTTTGATGAGTTTATGCTTGAGCAAATGCTCACTCATTCCCCCTTAGCTCTACCAAAGGCCTGCAGTAATATCCCTTGTCAATATGAAGCTTCCTATATTCAGGACTCTCATATACAACATTAGTCTATCAGCCCAGAGGCACACAACAGCACCGTCCAACCCTACACTGGTCCCCTTATGCTCTTGTGCCTTCGCCACCAGTCACCGATCTGTGTTGACCTAATTCCTAGATTCTAGAGTAGAAATATATACCAGAACTTTCCTTTCAGAGCATTACTTTGGCTACAGCTCATGTGGCTTTGGCAAAGATCTCGTTTATATTAAAGTCAAATTCATCTTTAGTTTTAAACTTTAATTTGATTTCTTACTAGATTCATATATTTAGAAGAATGCTGGATACTTTTATTTTTTAGGGCATCTAGTGGCTATCACTTCTACTCTGGTATTTGGTAAAATTTATGATCCCAAAATATTACTGCCTTTATAATTTCTAGTTTATGGAATTTATGGGGAGATTCTTTGTTGCCAAGTACATGATCAATTTTTATTACTATTTAATGGACTTTTGTAAGAATATATACTATCTATTTGATATATAAGTGCTAGTAATTATGTTAAATGTGGTTTCCACATCCTTAATTATTTGCTGACTGATTGAAAGGAACTTTTCAAGAAAATTTAGCTCTGGTTTTATAGCTTTATCGAATTATCTTGCACTCCAAACAGGTTTGAATTATGTATTTTATCTGTCATCACTAGTGCATAAGGTTACATATTATATCATCTTAGTGAATCCTGTCTTTTACCGATATGAAATATATACTTTGTCACATTTAGTGGAATTTTTGTAGCATCTTTCCCCACTGTAATATTTCAGAATATGATATTAGTGTGTTAAATTGCTCTCAATTCATTCATACTTTATTGAGATCTTTTTCCAGTTCCCTTTTAATCTTTCATACTTATTTTCTCTTATTTGTGTCTCTTGCAATAATATGTCACTGGGTTTTGGGTTTTTTTATAAATACAAAAATCCATTGTTGTTAATTTATCAAGTACATTTAATTAGTATTTTCCATTGTGATCTGTTTGGTTTTTTATGCTAATTGGAGATTGATTTTGTTGCACAATGGATACCAGTGAAAATAGATATCATACAATAGATATCAGTGGCTTTAACAAACAAATGGCAATTTTGCTAAAAGAAAGGGAAGCCAAGGAACATGGGAGCCAGAGAGATATCAAGTCATGAGCAATGAATAGCATTTAGTGGACCCTGAGTTTGATATCCAGCTCTTCATACGCACTCCATCCCCAGTACTTCTGGAGTACACCCGTGACCACCTGAGTATGTATCAGGGTCATAACACAATTGGGTCTGTATCAAGGTGAAGCATTTCTGAAAATATCCCTAGATTTCCTCAACACTTCTGGAGGTAGCCTCCACTTTTAAAAAATATTAGTAGTAGATTCACAGTGAGATCAGCCACAATCCTAGTTTTTATTTTAACTGGGGGCAAGTAAGGTGGTCCACACGTGGCTCAAGGAAAGAGAGAAAGAAAGAAAGAAAGAAAGAAAGAAAGAAAGAAAGAAAGAAAGAAAGAAAGAAAGAGAGAAAGAAAGAAAGAAAAAGAAAGAAAGAAAGAAAGAAAGAAAGAAAGAAAGAAAGAAAGAAAGAAAGAAAGAGAAAGAAAGAAAGAACGAAAGAAAGAAAGAAAGAAAGAAAGAAAGAAGAAAGAGAGAGAAAGAAAGGAAGGAAGAAAGAAAGAAAGAGAGAGAGAAAGAAAGAAAGAAAGAAAGAAAGAAAGAAAGAAAGAAAGAAAGAAAGAAAGAAAGAAACCAAGTCAAGAAACTGTACTATGCCAGAAGATAGTACAGGGATTAAGGTGCTTGCTGATCCAAATTTAATCACAGTATAGACATCAGAGTATTGTTGGGAGTGACCCTGAGCAAAGAGCCAGTAGTAGGTCCCAGTACTGTCAGGTATGGATTAAACTGGAATCAGCAAGCACCTTAATGAACTACTCCTTTTGTTCTTCCCACTTATTATTATTTTCTCACCCAGTCCATTCTTTTTCACCCTACTAGCAGTACTTCGTTTTTGTTCCACTTGAACCTCATGGTATCAATGTATGAAAGAACAGTTCCTGTTTTTAATAACATCACTAGATCTAGGTCCTATTTGCTGTCTATACTATAAGATTCAAAAGGCAGGTGTCTTTGTATGTGTTCTTCGCAGTGTATTCTAAAATCACAATAAAATTTTGGTCACAACATTTCCTAGAGGCATATTAATGAGATTTAAATTAGAAGTGATTATGCATCTCAGAAAACATTATCATGATATTAAGCATTAAGTATTTTCCATGAGCAGAGAACCCCCAAGACTAGGGCAATTATTGTCCTTGCCTAGCAACTGGTGTTAGTTAAGGCTAGCAGTCCCTGCCCAGACTTCATTTTCCTGTAATTTCCAACTTCTATGTAACTTCAAAGTGGTCAAAGATGGCCTGATCCATGTGTAACTATAAATAAAATCCCCAAAAGGGTTAATAAAAAATCTGTACCCTTGCCATAGCAGTTTACCTGAGCAGAATGAGAATGAAGCTTTACAAAAAAAGTAAAATTAAGTCACCTAATCTTGACCTGAAAAATATTTCATCCAAATGCATCTAGTGTTTCTGACTGAAAATTTTTAAAATTTCTATTTTCCTACTTCCGCTTATTTTGCACACCAAATACATTGATGTGTTAAAAGCACACTTATTTTCTTTCCTCACTTGTAGCCTTTTACCTCTTGTCAACATTTTTACTTTTGTAAGAACATATATAGAGAAAATGGAAATATTTTAGGATTCTCCCTGCATTAGCAAGTTGGCCCTAAGCTCGAATAAGCAGCATGCCTGATCCCAGGATTCAAGAAAGAAAGGGAGCTTCCACATTTACAATGGTTTGTCTGATTCAGGCATTGCAAGATCCTTGGGCATGTTGCTAGTTTTGCCCTCTTTCCATAAAAGAAATGCCTCTGCTACCAACCCAAGATCATAAATAGGAACTAGAGAGAGAGAGAGAGAGAGAGAGAGAGAGCAACTAGAAGTAGCATAGAAGTTATCCTTCCCGGAGAAGTACTCTAATGAGAATAAGTGAAAGGTGAGAGCAGCACCAATAAAGCATATTAGAAATTCCTATACTAGTCTTTGCTTTGGCCCCACAATCTCTCTGACCCAGCCTCCCTGGATATCAAGAGTTCCACAAGAGACATGTGTCCAATGAAGAAGAATCCAGTGTCCAATAACATGTCCGAGATGGCTGCTTCTACAAAACAATTTTCAGTTCAGAGTGAAACTAAAATAGAAATAAACTGCTCCAGCAGTCCTCATTTATTTTATGATATGTAATGAAGTACATCACATAAAAACTTAACTAATGAGTTTGGTGGATGAATAAATGAATTACAGGGCTTAAGGTGAGAAAACTTTAGGAAGAACAGGAAAGACAAACTATTTTGAAGTGTATAAAAATTAGGTAAGTGAAATTGGTTATGCTCATTTATTGAAGATAATAAATGTGTATTTAATTTTTCTTGAATGAAAAAATGTCAACATAGAAGAACTTATGAAAATGGATGCACGTATATCAACATTTTTAAAAAAGATGATTTTGTTGGTTTGTCCATATTATATATCAGAAGAATTAAATAGTACATTTCTGCTTTTTGTTGCTTTTGCAGATGATCCTTGTCTTTTTACTAAGCATTGGATCTCTCGTAATCTATTTCATCAACTCTTCAGAGTGAGTAAAATTCTCTTACCTTCATCTGCTATATCAGTACATGACCGGCTTACTTGGAATATTCTCATGAATAATGCTTAATGTACAAAAGGATGAGAGCATGCACACAAAGATGCATATGGGTATGTGTGTACACACACAAACTCATTAAAAATAAAATATTTAATTTCTTCCCAGGAGCACCAAATACAGATCTGTGGAAAAGTCGAATTTTCCGTACATTCATACCACATTACTAGTGCTGAAGTGGTACAGTCCTATTTTCTAGAGTCTAAGAGACTGCAAACTTTCAGTTGTCATCTCCTCTCTTGAGGCACTTAGGAGATTGTTTTTATGTCTTTTGATTCTTAGATGTTAAAGCATAAATTCTGAAATAAACTTAAGTTTTCTCTTGGGGTCCTCACTTTGTATGATTTTATGAAAGGAAAGTTCTAGAACTCTTTTTCCTGAGATAATGAAGCAAAATATTGTCTGCTCTACTCTGAAGACATTCCCTGCTTTTGTTCTGATGTTAGAATATTCAATGGACTCAAGCAATTAATCCAGATGATTAGATTAGGTGCCATGCTGATCCCCCTGGAAATTATAATTATATCGAGTTTCCTGCTGACGTGAAATTGGAATTTCAGAGACACAAAAAAACTTGCAACATTAGAGATCATAGGGAAACAATATGCGTGTGTGTATGTATGTATTCGTATGTCTGTGTATGTGCCTGTCTTTTAGATATTTAATCAAATTTTTTCTAAATTTTGTTCAGATCAGTCAATTTTTGCCTTGATTAGATGTATATCAGAAAGCTACAGAAGACTAGCTAGATGGTCTTTCACACCAAGAGCATCTCCACAATCTTGATATCTATCTTTGAGTTCCTCTGATAAAATAGAAGATGATCCTCTAAACTGAGAGAAACTGAAGATTTCCCTGTTAAATTTAATCCCATATACTGTCCACTAGTTTTGTTCATATATATTTATACTTTTACAAGAAATATAATCTCCTTGAGATCTAACTATTCATGGTGAATAAAGAGAAAATTATTTACTTTCCTTATTAGTCTTATATAGAGGTAGTTTTCTTAAATGTTCATCTTTATAAACTGCCCTTGTTTCTTTTCCAGTCCTGTTGCAAGCTGTTCTACATATGATGATGAAACTATTCCTATTGATTTGATGTTCAATGGTTTCTTTAGTTTCTATTTTGGATTGCGAGTAAGTAAAAAATTGAAAAGAGTAGACAAAAAAATACAACAAGCACAATATAAAATGTGTATTGTAATTGAAGGCTATAATGTAGAGGGTCAGAACTCTAAAATTTTTAATGTATGGTGAAAGAGAAAACTTTCCTCTGTCCTTGCAACTTTAAATAAGACCAAAATTCCAATGTCAATAACAATATTCCCCTTCTTAATACCATCGACATGCCACTGTCCTCCTTACTGTCTTCCCACCTGCCACTCAGAAAGTTTTTATGGGCCGGGGTCATAGCACAGTGGGTTTTGCCTTGCACATGGGCAACCTGGGTTTGATCAACATCATCCTATATGGTCCCCAGAGCACCGCCAGGAGTAATTCCTGAGTGCAGAGTCAGGAGTAACGCCTAAGCATTGCTGGGTGTGACCTAAAAAGCCAAAAATAAAGTTCTTGTAATATTTTCCAAGTTTCAGAAGCTGAATCATAGTCTGCTGAATCACAGTCTATAAATTATCAGTGGCTTTTCCAGAAATTTGGAGATCAAGGGTAAATGTAAATATATACACAATGGTTATGTATATATAAGTATGTTGTCAAATTTATGTGTTTTATACGTATATGCATATATTTGTATGTGTATGCATATATATACACATATACATAGCATATGACTATATACACATGCATAAATGTATACATATGCATCCAAATATGTTTTTGTGAGTTTCCTTCAAAGCTTTCTCTAATCACAATGTCCATTTTTTCCTTTCTGGTAATCTACTATCTTTGAAACTCCTTCTTTCTTAACCTAAGTAGGGCAGTTGATAAGTAGAGAAGTACATATACCTGTCTAAGTTATCTATAAACATACCTGTTTCAAACAGCTACAAATATGTATCTTGAATAGCTTCAATTCTTTTTCCATTCAAAGTTATCTAAATCATGTATCTTTATTGTTAGAATATAAAGGGTTTGTTTATATAATTATACAAGTTCTAAGATATGCTTGAAAGATTAAAGTACTAATTCAAAGTGCCAGAAAAGTGGCTCAAAAATCTGTGGTGCGTATTTCTCATGTCAAAGTTTTAGGTTCTTTATGATCTGAAGTGTACCACGAGGTGTGATCCCTAAACAAATAAACAAGCAAAATTTGTATTTAGAATTGTGAATTATTTCAGAAGATGGCCTCATGTTAATTTAATGAGCACTAAATTAAATGTTAAACCTCTATAACTATACTAATGTATGCTCTTCTATAGTTTTATAAATTCATTGTCTATGGATATAAGAGATTGAAATGTTTGAGAGAGATATAATTGAATGAGTTTCAGTTGATTAATGATAAGCAGCTAGATTAAGTCACTCTTGTTCATTTTATAATATTTGAGGATAACAGAATATCTCGTGCTTTGTTTTTGTTTCATAGTTTGTGGCAGCTGATGACAAGATCAAGTTTTGGGCAGAAATGAATTCAGTTGTAGACATCTTTACCATTCCACCAACCTTTATTTCCTATTATTTAAAGAGTAATTGGCTAGGTGAGTGTCTCATATAAAACGGTAGAAATTTCTAAATCTCTTTAAAAATCCCCAGTATTCATTTATAAATAATTTTCATTTCCCTTTAGTATCTAAATGGCATTTTAAGACATTCCTTGAAGGGATTGTATGTTTCTGTAATATACCTTCATGCCATTTTTCTTTAAGCTCTCTCTGTCTGTCTGTCTCTCTCTCTCTCTCTCTCTATATATATATATATAAATGTGCATTGTGCATGATAGATATGTGCTCTTTATGGACTAGTTCATTCACAACCTGGAGGAAAGGCCCCTACACACAGAGACTGTAGCAACTTTGGTCTGGGATCCCACATGATCTATTTCCCTTGATCTTCGTAGGCTATAAATAATCATATCTAGACAGAGAAAGCCTATACTTCATGGGAATGCAATGTACTGACAGTGCATTGGCATGGTGTGGCTTTCAGTCATGTTTATATTATTTTATATGATTATTACCTGAAAGTATTCCTCACTATTATGACACCATATAAAGTAGAGCGTTACATAACACTGACAAATATGATATAAAGACTAAAGTTAAGAGGTCAGGTGGAGTTAGGAGTTTCCAAATGGTGTGCTCTCCATTCTAAAGAACATACAAAGTAAAATATGAGTAGTACTTACAATTTGGAAGACAGTCTATGCTGCTCTATCTGTGCTCAACAGTCCTATATTGCAGGTACTCTTATAATCCCCATTTTATAGATTGTGTGAACAGGGAAGTGGCTTGTTATGGGTTACAACAATGATTAAGTGTAGGACCCAGGGCCTAAACTACAGTTCATGAGCTTAAATGTAATACTTTATATTTGAATATGACGGGAGGGTAAGAAAATAAACAATCCCAATTGTGTTGTAGTTCAGTTAACTCCCTGCTCTTCTTCTTTCAGTAGTTTTGTCCTTTCAATTGCTCTGTAGGTTTAAGATTCTTAAGATCACTGCGACTGCTAGAACTCCCTCAAATTCTGCAAATTCTGGGGGCTATAAAAACCAGGTAAGTCTTGATACCAGCTCTTCTAGAAGTGCTATTCCCTTGTAGGTTCAGATTAGGAATTTGAAATGTTAACTAATCACCCAACTAAATGTCTAGAGTTTTAGTGCAAATATAGTGAAATCTTGTAACCTCCAAAATAATACTCACTTTTTCCTATGATAATAGCATTACATACTGGTTAGAAGTTTATAATTATTTTAAAGACTTTGTGCCTTCCTAATGTAAAAGTAGATAAGGTGTAAGTTTTATCATACTTTAATTCTGGATCCTATCACCCAATTTTCCCTTAGCTTTTTAAGCCCCCAACCCTATTTGCAAAGTCAAGGAAATTTAAAGGCTTTGATTTTTGCATTTTTTTGTTTTAAATCACATTTTTCTCCTAACTGATCATGCAAAAACAATTGCTCTGAGTATTGATATTTTCCCAGTATTAGGAATGAACATTTATCAGAGTTAGAGTCACCTAAGTATTAAAAAAATAAGGCAGTAAAATCCCTTGGTACTTTGAGAAACAATGCTTCTAAAGCTTTAAGCACTTTGTTATAATGTATCTCACTTGAAATTTCCATAAATCTTATCTCATTACAGATATCACATATTATAAGTCTGGTGGATTTCATTTCAAGTGTTCATGTCTTATAAAAAAAATTAAGAATGAAAAGAGCTTCTTTCATATCACAAATAGTCGTGCCTTAGGAAACACAGACTTTTCTACTCTACTCTAGGGTTTAGAAGAGCATGGGGACTCTATAATTCTCTTCACTCTAAGATCCCAGTATGGATTTAGCAATATAAGACTCCATTTATGAGACTGTCTAGAAATTTCATTTTGAAAGAATCCTCTCTGCATTTCTCTGTCACTGCAGTTTAATCTATTCAAAGAAAACACAACTATTTCATAAATTTTATAAAGATCCACAGCAAATCTTTGCCTTTTTATACAAGTGTCTGTAATTGTGTTTTAGTGCTGTGCTGTGCAACTAAGGCCTCACTTTACGTGTGGATCGAACAGAACACTGGTAGCAATACAGTTCAGTCTATTGGGCGCAGGGCACTTCCAATAGACTCCAAGTGGTGGTGATGATGTTACTTCTTGTCCATAAATCACACTGTCAGGATTGAAATAATAAAAGAACTGAGGTATTTATACTGCCCTGGAACCTATCAGAACCAAGTGTTTTTTGTCTTTCTTTCCTAGCAACTCAGTGAAGTTTTCTAAGCTGCTAGCTATAATTCTCAGTACCTGCTTCACTGCTGCAGGATTCATACACTTGGTAAGCATCTCATCAAACTGTATAATGTTGCCTGTCAGGATGAATGCGTATTCTTTGAAACTGAAAGTAGACCTTCTGAACTCCTATGTCAATCACTGTAAACTTTGTGTAGTTTATCTTTTTAATGTCCCTTTCTGAATTCTCACCCTTCTCATATTTCTCACAAATGCGTCTTCCACACTCAAAATATTTCTGCCCCTTCTTCCAATTTTCAAAACCCACTTTTAGGAATGAAAATAATGTACATACTCATTAAAAGCATAAGCACTAGGAAAATTTGTCTTTATATTTTCACCAAAGTCCTAGAATTGTGAATTTAAAAAGTGAAAATTAATAAAGCCAATGAAATAATTTTACACTTAGAAAAGCTGAAAAGTCATGGGGAGAAATGGCTGAGTTGTGAGAGGAGTTTGGGGATTTTATCATTCCATAATTAATTTCTACATGTACTCACTGGCTTTTCCTGTATGAAAAACTAGTGCTATCCTAGTTAATAATTTGGTAAATGGATTTCAACAATAATCATTAGACTTCGGTGTCAAAGAATCATCCATTAGAAAATGCAGAAATTGAAGAGTGATGTTAAATGTCTTCAGGTACCTTTGAGAAAAATTAAACAAAGCAAATACAGCAGAAGTTGTTTTCATCAGTCAAAATTTATTGAAACAATAACAAAGAGAAACAAAACTTTATTTAACAAACAAAACCAAAACTTCTCTATTTTCAAATTTTCCAGGAAAAAAAAAGCCAAATACTATGTACTTATTGCCAGAAAAACCTAAAAAAAAAAAATCTAAACCCAGCAAGAGTAGCAGCATTCAGGTGTCTGAAAATCATGCACCTAATATCGCTCATCCAAATTTGGAGCCCTCCAAATGTTGGAGAGACCCCCATTACATTCCATTAAGCAATAGATCCAGTAAGGGTGTGTGTTCACATGCCTACAGAGACAGACCAAGAGGTTTTAACGACCTTTATGTCTACCCTACCTCTACATATAATTAGTTGTTGGGACAACAGTTACAAGACATTTTGTCAAGGAAACAAATTAAAATTAAGGAAAGCCTACCATATTTGAAAAAAATACAAAATTAAATACTTTAAATGTTTAAAATGTAATTTAAAATTATTTAATGTTTTAAGATGCCCTTATTTTTATTTATTATTTTTTGCTTTTTGGGTCACACCTGGTGATGCACAGAGGTTACTCCTGGCTCTGCACTCAGGAATCACTCCTGGCGGTGCTCAGGGGATGCTGGGAATCGAACCCAGGTTGGCCGTGTGCAAGGCAAACACCCTACCCACTGTGATATCGCTCCAGCCCTAAGATACCCTTAAACAGTAGAATGAATTGACAAATGGCAGAAATAGATAAGACAAAAATTATCATGGGACTGAAAAAAACAGCAATTGAGAGCAGTAGAGAAAAATGAAAAGTAAACCTCTTAAAATAACTATATTGGAATATTTGTGATTAATTATGATTCCTTCTATATACTATACCTATAAACTGTAATGTCATTGCCCAAAATACGTAATATAACATATAATTTAATAAATTGAGTATCCTTAAAATATTATCAAGGGCGATAATATTTTCACATTATTTATTTTGGGGGCCATACTTAATGGTGCTCAGGGCTTGCTCTTGGCTCTATGCTCAGGGGTCACACCTGGCACTGGTGAACTAACCATGGTTCCCTAACCATGGTGAACTAAAGCACTTTACCTTCTGTGTTCAAAAAGAATTTTATGGCAGTGAGACAACAACTTTAAAAGCTTTTGTCTTTTCACCATTTATCACACTACTATTTCTGTGCTTAAATTCACAGAAATTAAATATTTATTAAAATATTTATTTTCTTAATGATAATTATGGTTAGATACGAATGAAAATGAACACTGATTGCTGACTATGAGCAGCTTCAGAGGTCCATTACTTCAGAATGGAATAATGCGTCCTTAAAAAAGCATTCCAGATTCTGGCTACAAGTCTCATGCCGCAGACTTCAGTAATAATCAGAATGATAGAAAACAAGTTTCATAATCACCATCCCCAATTTGTACAACATACATTGTAGCTTTCAAATCATTCTAGTTGTTATTTGGATTTAATTAAACTAATTCCATGCTTTGTATGTACTTTGTAAATTTTTCATTCCATTCATAAATGTTTCTGCATATTCTCTTTGAACAGGTAGAAAACTTTGGTGATCCCTGGCTCAAAGGTAGAAATTCACAGACGCTATCATATTTTGAGTGTGTGTACATGATTGTTGCAACAACCACAACAGTTGGCTATGGAGATGTAGTAGCCAAAACATCTCTAGGACGGATGTTCATTATATTCTTCACCCTGGGAAGCTTGGTAAATAACATTTTTAATATCTGTTGAATACATATACTTACTAATGGTAAATAAAGCAATATTCACTTGAAAATTAATATTGCATTATTCAGTGCAATTATCATGAAAAGTCAAAGACATACTGAGCCCATATTTTCTAACCTATATTGTCAGGGATTAGTGGTGGTAGGCGAAGGAGACCAAACATGTATTATTAACTGTTACATTGATTTAAGCAACCCATCTTTCTTCATCTTTTGACCATCAGCTATAGTCTTTATTTCAAAGATAAAGAGGCACTTAAGTAAGATTTATTCCTTCCAGTCTAAATATTAGGTAGGCTCTCTCCAAAATAGCATTTTATTTCAGGTAAGTATAAGGGTCATGAATCTGAAGGGACAAATGGAACACACCTTTCCAGAGTATCTTTAGCATTAGTGATGTGAAAATCCTAACAGAGTTCTCTACTTCACCTTCTGATAATCCCTTCAACATTGTTTCATGCCAGTCATTTTTCTCTAAGCTTATTCTGTGTAAAATAGTCATATGGATAGGTAGGAGTGATGGGAAAAAAACAATGTCGTCCTGCCTATCTTCACTTTAATTCACTTGAATAGTGTAAAGCAATGAAATTGTTACCCAAATGGCCAGGCAAAATGTAAGAGGAATAATGGTCTCACTTTGGAAACACAATTCTTAGTCACACTCTTCCACAATAAAGGGAAAGCCTTATATGTATTCTCTCTTGTAATTTGTAATCTCAGAAATCTATAATTTCAGAAATTAAAAAATGTATTTGAAAACAAATCTTATGTTTTATGTGCTGATTGTTTAGGTCCTATTTGCGAATTATGTTCCTGAAATGGTAGAGATTTTAGCCAACAGGAGGAAATATACCAGGTCCTATGAAGTTCTTAAAGGGAAGAAGTAAGTAGCATTGCAATTACAATTTCATCAGTTTGGGCTATTATTTGGGGTATATAGTTTGAAATAGTCATGTATACTTTTTCTCTAAATACCCATTGTCAGATCTAGGTGACTATATATCCAGTTTTTAATTCAATAGAGTGTTTTTATGCTTTGATACTGACAAGATATTATTTCTTGATACAAGCTACTATATACTTTATTAAAAATAGTAATTCAACTGAAATTACAGGTAATGTCAAATATTATAGATTTGGACAATTGTTTCATTTTTCTGTATCACAACACTCACATCATCTAATTCATTTATTCTTATGGTTGATCTTCCATGAGAACTTTACATAATAGATCAAATTAAAGTCATGCGTTAAATGTACAACAGTTCAATTCAGCTGTCTCTGCCCAAACTTTCATAAACTATAGGAATTTCATTCACCATCAGACTTATGTTAGGAAGAGAAACAATTTTAGCCTTTCTACAGTACTTTATAGATTATCTGTTCTGTTGGTTCCTCAGCTTTAACCGGAAGAAGCGAATTAGGATTGTTTTAACCCAATTTCTTTGTCTATGCTTTTCCTCAGTTTACATTATGCTTTTAACATCTAGAGGAAATTAGATAAATTAGAGATATTATGTAAAAAATAAACATTGAAGGGACAATTGCTTCTTTAAACACATAGAGTCAGGGGGCTGAAGAGATCATACAGTGGGTAGAAAACATGCTTTGCACACTGTAAACATGGGTTTGATCGCTTGCCCCCCATGTGGTTCACTAAGCTTCATCAGGAATGATTTCTGAATTCGGAGCCAGAGGGAAACCCTGAGATCCACCAGGTATGGCACCCAAATCAATGTGTATGTATGTGTGTGCACATATGTGTGTGTTTGTGTATGTGTGTGTGTAATATGTATTACACACAGAGATAGAAAGAGTTTTCATGCCTAATTTATTGCCACCCCGGGTAGATCCTCAGCATCACAAGATTTAACATGACCAGGTCCAGGTCTTGTAGTCCCCAAATACCACCTGGATGGCCGGAGTAATCTCTAGACTACAGGGCCCTGTAGTTCCTTGTCTTTGGGCCTTTGCATTACACCTCTAGTTCAGTGGACTTAGAATCACTAGTGGGGACCATGGATCCATGGAACTCTGCTTGGGAGAATCCCCCAAAATAAAAATAACTACATAATCTATGAAATGCCAAAGAGCTAGCTTGACCAAATGGATTCCATGCTTGCTCTGAGGTGGGAGACCTCGTCTCTAATGCACTGGATGTGTCACAACCAAACACCAAGCATCGAACAACAATAGGCACTGAGAACTGGTTTTCAGTGTGAATATTCTGATTAGTTGTGGGGGACTGAGGGGGAGACACTGAGACAAGGTAGAGGGAAGAAAACATTCTGGGAGAGGATATGGATGGTGCTGGTGTGTTTTATGCATAAAATCCTACTACTCATTGCCTATAAAAATATTTAACTTGTAGTCTAAGAAAAATATTATCTCTTAACACTTACTTACAATAAATTATATACAAAAAAATCCCAATCCTTCCTTCCTTCCTTCCTTCCCTCCTTCCTTCCCTCCTTCCTTCCTTCCTTCCTTCCTTCCTTCCTTCCTTCCTTCCTTCCTTCCTTCCTTCCTTCCTTCTCTCTCTGCTTGCTTCCTTCCTTCCTTCCTTCCTTCCTTCCTTCCTTCCTTCCTTCCTTCCTTCCTTCTTTCCTTCCTTCCTTCCTCCCTCTCTCTATCCTTTCTTTCTCTCTCTCTATCCTTCCTTCCTTCCTTCCTTCCTTCCTTCCTTCCTTCCTTCCTTCCTTCCTTCCTTCCTTCCTTCCTTCCTTCCTTCCTTCCTTCCTTTCTTTCTTGTCAGTACTTACTCCTGACTTTGCACTCAGGGATCACTCCAGGCAAAGCTCCAAGGACTGACGATATGGGTTGCTGGAAATCAAACACAGGTTGGCTAAAAGCCAGGCTAGTGCCAGACTTGCTGTACTATATCCCCAGCTCAATAGCACCAGCTATTTTTTTACTGTCAAAGTGCATTTTTACACCTGTCTAGTATGACTTTCTCTTTCAGATTTCTCCTAAAAAAATGCACTACTAGATCATTTTAGAGATGGAAGATAAAACCATACCTACTACTGCTGTCTCAAAAGTCCAGTATTACCTCAATCACAGTGTTTGACGTGTTTGGCAGTGGTAAAAATCAAGTAAAGAATTGATCCTTTACAGGATTAACACATAACTAATTAAGCTAGTTATTTCTCAGCTTTAAAAAAAAAATGTGCCAAAATGACATGTACAATTGAGTTGGAGGATGGGTGAAAGGGAGTGATGTGTGGGCTCCTTGGGAGATAGAAATAGGTAGATTAGGGATATGTGTGAGCTTCCTTCCTTCCTTCCTTCCTTCCTTCCTTCCTTCCTTCCTTCCTTCCTTCCTTCCTTGTCCTTCCTTCTTTATTTCCTCTCTTCATTATTTCTCCTTCCTTCCTTCCTTCCTTCCTTCCTTCCTTCCTTCCTTCCTTCCTTCCTTCCTTCTTTCCTTCCTCTCTCCTTCCTTCCTTCCGAAAGAGAAAAAGACTGGGGTTTTTCTTGTATATAGTTTATTTTAATTAAGTGTTAAGAGATTATATTTTTCTTAGACTACAAGGTAATATTTAAAAAATTTAAAAATATAAATATTTTAATAAATTTAAATTTATATATTTATTATATTTTTGTTTTATTATTTTAAATTTAAATTTAATAAATTTTAATACAAATATAAATATACAATTATGTCAATGAGAAACCATTATTAATAGCGTGCAAGAGTGAAAGCACAGTGGTAGGGTGTTTGCCTTGTAAGCGGCTGGCCCAGCCAAGCAGGGTTTGATTCCTCCACCCCTCTTGGAGAACCCAGCAAGCTACTGAGAATATCTTGCCCTCATGACAGAGCCTGGCAAGCTACCCGTGACGTATTCAATATGCCAAACGCAGTAACAACAAGTCTCACAATGGAGACGTTACTGGACCTGCTCAAGCAAATCGATGAACAACAGGAGGACAATAAGACAAAAAGTAATAAACGTTTAACAATTGTGCCACTCATATAAAATAATATGTATAAATACCATATTGTAGTTAATAGATAATAACTATATAATTATGTAATTTATACTTATTAGAAGTTATTGAAAAGCAAGTGATTCCCAGAGTTTTTGTTGTATTCTAGAAAAGCTCAGTGTTGGAGTCAAACTAAAGAGGCTATATCAAGTAATATTGAAAATGTTGTCATTGGTGTTACTATTTTTAAAATCTCTGGTTAAAAAGCCAAACGTACTTAAAACCAAAGTAAGTGATTCATTCATCCTTAGATCAAGATAGGAAGATGGTCCTCTCCCTCAAATAAGCCACCTTCCATATTCTTGTCACCCAGGTTCATTGTGGTCTGTGGGAACATCACTGTCGAGAGTGTGGCTGCCTTCCTGGGGAATTTTCTTCGTCTAAAGTCTGGGCAGATCAGCACTGAAATTGTGTTTCTGGGAGAGTAAGTGTATCTCATCTGTTGATCCATGGGTTCGTAATTTAATGTTTGGAATATGTGTGTGGATGTTTTATGGGAAAAAAAAAAACATTGTCCTCAGAATATTTAGAAACATAAAGAAATAATGAAATAGAGAACTAACCTTAGAATCAAAGTTAAGCTCTGAAAATATTGCTGAAATTTTCTTCCCCTGTTTTTTTCTATAACATGGACTAATGTTATTTGATGATTTTGTATTATTTAGGTTATATTAAAATATGTGGTGAAATTCTGTGCCCACCTCTTGTTTACTTTATAGTCATTCTAGTCGCTAATTCTCAAAATCAGTAATGTGAACTTTTTTACTTTATAATTTTTATTGTAATCATTATTTAACCATTATAAATTTTATCATTATGATAATTATTCTTTAATTAAATATTGTTTGCTTTATAATTATTATTCTAGTTGCTAAGTTTCAAAATCCAAAATGTGCCAATTCTCAAAATTTAAGTAGAAAGAATATCTTATATTGGGGAGAATCATGGAAAAAATATTTACTACATGTTACCCAGGGCCTCTGGAGGACAACTTCTAGCATTCTAAGAGTGGCCCACTGTGTCTGACAGCTCAGTGCACTGTTGGCGAGTATCAGGTTCACAATGATAAATTTCCACTTAGGGGGATGCATGTCTATGCCCATGGTGCTCACAGGACCATTCAAGTTGCTTAAATCAAACTGAGGTGCCTCAACTGCAAAGCATATATGACGCCTAGGCCATGCTCCCCATCAAATCAAGGAAAGGATTTTTGTTGATTTTTTTTTTTGCCATATGTTCTTCACTTTTTATTAGCAGAGAGTAAATCAAATATTTTGTGAGACCCCAAAAATACATGTCTAATACAAATATAGTTTCAATAGAAGATGCTTTATTATTGTTTTATTTTATCATTTTGATTTCCAATGAGATACAACAACATCTGCATGCTTTGACAATTTCATTCTTCTTTTAAAACTTCCTCATTTCTTGAGGTCTTAGTGCAGTGGGTAGGGCACACAGCCAACCTGGATTTGATCCATGACACCTCAGATGATATCCCCTGAGACCACTAGGAGTGATCCCTGACAGGAGAACCTGAAATAAGTTCTGGGCACTTACAGGTGTGCCCCCTGCCAAAAAAAAAATATTTCTGTGCCCTTAAAACTTTCTTTTTTTGGTATGGTTGTCTGTTTTCTATTAACATTTTTGTTTGTTCTGTGTTTTTTTTTTGGAGGGGGTCAAACAGTTTTCAGGTGGGAACCCAGTGCCACTTACCCTGTTGCTCAACCAGGGCAGCAATTCAATGCCAGGGCTTAAAGATACACTGCTGCTTGTGTACTGCGATGCCAGGGACCACCAGCACTGCCCTAGTGTTGCTTGGAGTCTTCTCCTAGAAGTTTGTATGCATAGGCAGTGATGCCAGGAGGCCACGCATACCAGGAACCATATCTGCAGCAGATACAACTTTGGACTACTAATTTTAAACAAATCTTAATATATTGTATCATTAACCATTTTTATGTGATAGTATTGATATTTTGCCTCCTTGGACAGAGTGATATTACTGTAGAAAGGGTGCCTGCCTTGCACATGGTCAATGCTGCGTCTGGCACAAAAATAAATAAATATCTACTATTTTATGGTAAATATTTTGGCATCTTTTTATTAATTTATTTTGTTTAAGGGCCACATCCAGTGATACTCAGGAACTAGTCCTGCTTTTGTGTTCTGAAGTTGTTGGCAGAGCTGGGCAGAGACCATATGTGATTCCTGGGGATTGAACCCTAGCCTTATGCATGCAAGGCATGTGCTATGCCCCTTGAAGCTTTCTATCTGACCAGTATGTTTTTAATTTAAAGCAAAAGCATTTGTATATCCAACCAACCATCACTTTGGGATCTCATATGAGAGTAATGGTAAACATTTTGAACACTCTATAGCTGGTTTTTAGCTAACAATTTTATTTTATTTTCATACTCATTCTGTTAGTAACTTTTGTATTTCTTAAATTCTTAGATTTTTAAAAATAATTTTAAAGTAGAACTAATACTAACCAGAGATAATTTTACTATGTAATATACACCTCTAGTGTATATTACATGCAGAGCCAAAATAACGGGTCTCATTCCTCTGACCCTGGAAGAGCCTCCAATACAGCAGCATTGGGAAAGAATAGTAAGGAGAGGCTGCTAAAATCTCAGGGCTGGGACAAATGGAGATGTTACTGGCACTCACTCAAGTAAATTGATGAACAACAGGATGACAGTGATACAGTGATACAGTGATGTAACACACACAACTGTTTTTGTAATATGTTGAAACTTATTGTTCAATTGAATTACCAGTTTTATAAATATTTGTTTGCCTTTAAAAATTAGATTAGCCAAAGAAGACAAGTTTTGAAAATATGTGTCCAACATTGGAGGTGAAGTATTAATTAATGAGAAGAATCTTTTCATAGTATATATATGTAATTACTATGTTGTTCACTATAAATATAACTTTGTTTTATAATTATAAATGCAAAGAATAAAATAAATGCAGTACATGTTATTTGTCAATTTTATGTATATCAAAAATATATTGTTTCTGTGTTTTTCTACCAATAATTAAGATGTATTGAAATATACTAGGGTAGAAGATTCAGCAGTACCTCCATTTTAAATATTTTAATTTACCTTTTAGATGCTATGTTTTTAAATTCATTGTTTTATAAAGTAGAAGCACAAAATATTTTATTTTATATCAAACTTTTTGATTTCCAGAAATTTCCTGTTTTATGCATTAACATGGTAAGTATTTTTGTATCACTAAAATTATTTAGAAATCAGATTTAGATCCATTCTGAAAATTAGGCTTAGTCATGTCAGCATCACCAAATAGATATTTAGAGATGAATAATGGACAAATAGAAATTAGAGTTAAATATAACAATTTGTAAACCAAAGTCAATAATTTGTTTTAATTTTTCACTTTTTAATTTCATTTTTTGTCTAGAGTTTCTCCTTCCTTGGAATTAGAAGCTATATTTAAGTGCTACTTGGCTTATACAACTTTTGTTTCTGGATCTGCATTGAAAAGAGAAGATCTAAAGAGAGTTTCAGTAAGATCTAGTTCCTGTAGTTCGCCTAAACGAAATGATTAAGATATTAAAATATTTTTCTCTCTCAAAAGTTTCTTACTCATGACGCTTAAAATGAGGACATTATGACTACCTCAAGTTTAAAAATCATGTACAAAATTAGTATTTGGACTCTAAAACCCTTTAGAAATATTTCAAAATATTTCAAGAAGCCCTCCCTATTTACTTGCACTTATATTTTAATTGTTTATTTTACCCAAGTTTCTCTCTGGAGTAGTCATATTTCTTTCAGTCTAGAAGATCTGGAAAATTTATTAATAGCACAATTATGTTGGTTTTGCTTTCCAGAATTCTTGCCAGAAGATGGATTTCTTAGAGTCAATCAGCTTTTGCAAATTTTTCTAAATATACCGATTTGGCTATTGTTTTGAAAAACAGGCATGAAATATAGTAAAGCTCCTTAAAATTGTGGCTAACCCTAATGAGTAACATTCAACCCTCTAGACAGTTTCCACGTCTGATCAAAGCCTGCTTCTTCTCATGTTCTAGGTTTTACATGTGAATCAAAAATATTCCATTTCCCCCCCAAAGCAGAAACCTATAAAGATAAAAGATAAGTCAAGAAAGATAGCTCATGTGGTAGAGCATGGCTAGCATTTGGGAGGCCCTGGTTCAACTCCTAGTTCTGCGTATGCTCCTGGGCATCACCATTTATACACTTGGCATCTTCCAGCATCGCAGGTTTGGTCCCAGAGGCCTTTTAGAACTGAGAATGTGTTCCCAGTTGTGTCTTATCACCGTTAGATATGGTCTTGGTCCTGGCAGTCCCTGAGCACCACCAACCTAATAAAGGCTGTTCAGGGCACTGAGCTCTTCCAGGAGGAGGTTGTCAAGGACTGGTGGGAATATAGTCTATACAAATACCAAAAAATCCAAAAAAAAAACATTCCAAGTGAGAGTCTAATGAGTAGGACTCATGCACACCCCTGGCACACCACACAGTCCCCAGGTCTCTCCAGGAGTGATTCCTAAGCTCAGAGCCAGGAGTGCAGCTGGGCATGACTCTGAAGAGAACAAAAATAAAAAAAGCAGTCTGAAATAATAATGGTCACCTCTATAATTTTCCCAAATCTTATGATTCAGAATCCACACACATTGAGTGGTTGTTTGCTTTGAACCAAACCCACTCCCAGTATGACTGTTCTCTCGTGTCCTGAAATACATATGCAGGTGGTTGATTTGAAAGAGCCTATAAACTAGCACTAGATATAAATTTGCGCTTCATAAATTTATATAAAATAACTATTTCCTATATTTTAAGAAATCTTCCACATATTATAACATTATGCCCAGGGCTATCGCTACAACGCTCTGTACATGCATCACTTTTAGCACTATAGTCTCATGTAAAGACTTCCTTATCAAAACCCTTTCTTGTATTATGACAAATTTTATGACAAAAGCAATAAACAAAACCCAAAATGGAAAACTAGAACATTTCTGATGTATTTAACAAGATGGTTACTGTTATTGTTGAAGAATAGGTGGAGGCCGCAGAAGCATGCTTGATCATAGCCAATCCTCTGTGCAGGGATACACATGAAGAAGACAATACAAATATCATGAGGTAAGAAATTGGCACTGTGTGGATTAGAGAGAATCCTGAGCACACACCCAGAGTTGTGCAGAAACGAAAAACAAAAAGGAAGGACAAAATAAAGTGGCACTGCATTTTTTTCTTTATTGTTGGTTTTATCTCTTTTCTAAAAGAAAGTCCAGTGTATAGGATTAAACATAAGATGTCACATATCAGAACATTAGATTCATTATATTCTAGATTTCTGATGATTGCTGTGCCCCAAAGATTTTTTTGTTTGTTTACTATTTTTTTATTATTAGTGAAACACCATGAGGTACAGTTGTAGATTTACAATTTTTTGTGCTTGGGTTTGATTATACAATGATCAGATACCCATCCCTCCACCAGTGCCCATTTTCCACCACCATGGATAATATCCCTCCCACCCCCATCCCCCCCATCCCACCCTGCCTCTCTGGCAGGCAATCCCTTGTGTTCTCTCTCTCCTTTTGGGTGTTGTGGTCTGCAAAAGAGGCATTGAGTGGCAAACATGTTTAGTCCATAGTCTACTTTCGACATGCATCTCCCCTCCTGGGAAGATCCTCCAGAGATTTTTATAATTAAAACTGAAGTAAAAAATAAATTAAAATAATAAAAATAGAGGGTCCTAAGAACCTATGTGTTTCTTCATATATTTTTCTGCAATTTTACATGGATAGTTAAATTAAATTTAAAAAATTACACATACAAGTATCTAGCAACTTCATATAGAACCATTATGAACAAGATACCTAATAGGTTTTTAGAAAATCCTCTAAAATAGAGATAATATTCATGATTTTTATTGCTATCTATAGAGTTTACTTACTGAGATTTTTCTCCAGAAGTCTGATGAAACACTGTGTGTAGTTCAGTATGATTAGCTGTAATTGATTATTGGTAAGTATTTGAAAGGTGCTAGTCATTATGAGCATCATCAACTCTGAATATCTATAACTTGACACTTAAATTGTGGCAACAAATTCAAACTATCGTTGTCATGAATTGGCAATTTGCAATAGATCATTGTTAGCCCTGGAGCTGAATAAATACATTCCTTCCTGAAGTTGGTCCTGTAAATAGTGACAAAAGGGTAAAACTGTGCCATCAACAATACCATGTATGTTACATAGACCTTAGTTTCTTGATTTCTAAAATTAAGAAATGTGAAGAAAGACAGTATATAAGTTGATTTAGTTTAAAGAAATCTAATCTCCTTTACCTTTAATTAATGTACTTTAAAGGTGAAAATGTATTAATTTTTTTTCAAAAATTAGATGTATCTATAAAAAATTATTTTTTACTTTTTTTTCCCGCTTATTTTGTTTGCTGGAGCGATAGCACAGCGGGTAGGGCGTCTGCCTTGTATGCAGCCAACATGGCCGACCCAAGTTCGATTCCTCCGCCCCTCTCGGAGAGCCCGGCAAGCTACCGAGAGTATTCGATATGCCAGACACAGTAACAACAAAGTCTCCAATGGAGATATTACTGGGCCCGCTCGAGCAAATCGATGATCAACGGGAGGGCCTTTATGTTGTTTGGGACCTACAACCAGCAATGCTCAGGGATTACTTCTGGCTGTGCACTCAGAATCCATTCCTGGTGATTCTCAAAGGACCATATGGGATGCCTTGAGATTGGTCCTGGGTGAGCTGCAAGCAAGGCAAACGGCTCACTCACTGCATTATAGCTCCAGTCCAAAGAATTAGACATATCATATAAACCAATATATTCTTCATATATTTGATTGAGTCACGAAAGGAAAAGAACTCATTAGGTTTCATTAATAGAAGATTTTGAGCTAAGGAAATTTATTTTATGGTTTTCTTGGGTTTTATTTGATTTTGGATCACACTTGGCTGTGCCTGTGGTTTACTTTTTACTCAGGAGCCTCTCCTGGAAGTGCTTAGGAAACCATGTGTAGTACATGGAATCAAATCTGGGCCATTTGTGCAATGAAAGCACTTATCTAATATGCTGTATCTCTCTGGCTTCAATATGCTTTTTTTTGCCTTTTTATATGGTTGCCCAAACATCAACTTCAATGGATAGAATTATATATAAAGCTGTTGTATTTGGAACATTACTGACGGACATACTTTCTGTTTATATAGGGTGCTCTCTATCAAGAACTATTTCCCTAAAACCAGAATCATCATACAGATACTTCATTCTCATAACAAGGTATCGTATTATTGTCACCTTTCCAATCTCCTCCTTTTTCAAAGATCCTGGAGCTAGATAAACTTATCTTACCATTTTAATGGGTATGTTAGAAAGCTTTGGTAACCATAGCTTGAAATATTTTTATTCATAACTATTGAAAAACAATTTTTCATTGCTTTAAAAACTAAAGGAGTTTATTACTAGAATGCATTTACAAGAACTAGTAAAAGGAATTTTCAAGAATTGAAGGAAGGATATGAATTAGAAACAAACAAAAAAACACAAGAAAGTGTAAATCATACTGATAGACATACATATATAACAAAATTGAGAATAATTAATGTAGATGTTTGGGCAGTTATACATTTTGTAAAAAGTCTTAAAGATAATGTAGTAAAATAGCTGTAACTGTAGTTATTTATTAAGGGATAAAAAATTTAAAAGATGAGAATAAAGAGAGAAGGAGAAGGGTACATTGGAGATGTGTATGGTTTTGGAATTATGTTCATGGAAAAAACTATGAGTAATACTGTAAGCCAAATTTTTTTTAAATAATCATATTTTGAAATAAAATTGGGACATCAAAAATCAGTAATGGTTAGAGGTGCAGGCAGTCTAATGTGCAACTTTGGAATGTTATCAAACATAAAGTTGTTATATAGAAAAAACATGGAATGAGACTAATACCCATGGGCCTGAGGAATTGATACGTAGTTGGAAGCTTGCCACCAGTAAGGTTTCAGGGATGCAGTTAAGATAGAGAAAGGATAATTATGACAATGATAAGTTGGAAATGATAACTCTGAACAAGAACTGAGTGCTGAAATTAGATAAAGGGTTATACACATGATAACCTCCTTTCAGTGCCTGTATTGCAAGTCATAATGTTCAGAAGGAGGGAGGGAAGGGAGGGGGACAGGGAGAGAAAGGCAGAGACAGAGACAGAGAGGGAGGGGTGAAGCGATGAAGGAATGAAGGGAAGGAGAAAGAAAGAAAGAAAGAAAGAAAAAGAAAGAAAGAAAGAAAGAAAGAAAGAAAGAAAGAAAGAAAGAAAGAGAGAGAGAGAGAAAGAGAGGATGGAAGGAAGGAAGGAAGGAAGGAAGGAAGGAAGGAAGGAAGGAAGGAAGGAAGGAAGGAAGGGAGAAGTGACTGAAGGCATGGAGGCAGGCTTGGGCAGGGGCTAATTGGGGGTTGGTGGAAGGGGAACTGGGAACATTGGTGGTGGGAAATGTACACGAGAGAAGGGATAGGTGTAGAAACGTTGAATGACTGAAACCCAAACACCCAACTATGAACAACTTTGTAATGTATATCCCACAGTGATTCAATACTTTTTTTTTAAAAAAACTGTACCATAAATATAGAGTCTTACTGCTTGGAACTATTAATAAAACATTCCAAGACATTAAAAATAAGTTATTGAAGGTAAAATAGCAGAAATCCAAAACCAACATTTAATTCTTGAACCCAGCTGTAGAAAGCAAATCACTTCACAGTGCTTTTTCAGCATGTCTGATTTGGGGGGGGTAAACTCTAAATAATAGTGGTGAATCTTTTATTGAAACAGTGAATCTAATCAAAGCAGATAGAGTGTTAACTAGAATTCATCTGCTTCACAGGGACTGGGAGGGGTGGGGGTGGGGCTTTATTGGGGTTCTTCATGGTAAAAAATAAGTATTGGTAAAGGGAAATGTGTTTGATATTTGCATGACTGAGACCTAAACCTGAAAGCTTTGTAACCTTTCCCACAGTGATTCAATAAATAAATTAAAAAATAAATAAAAAATAAAAAAATAAAAATAAGTTATTGAAAACTTAATACAAAGTGCAGTAGGAGTAGTTTTAGATAAGCCAAATGATAATCACAAAGCAAAAGCCTCTAGTAGATAGGCAAAAAACATTAAACTAAGCCTAAAACTTTAAAAACACAAAAGAAGAGCAAAATAAGAAAGGCATAGGTAACTTAGAAAGCAGCCAGGGAAAATTAACTTACAAGTACATACTCATGAAAAATTATATTAAAATCTAAAAACCAATATAAATTATTCAATAAAAGATATAGTATCAAAGTGATTTAAAAATAATAGAGTCCTACCTGTACTCCAACTTTGAGAGATGAATTTTAATTGTAACAACACTCAGTGACTAAAAGTGAAGGGATAGAAAAATATAAACTAGGCAACTGGAAACCAAAAACCTTGGGAAAATTAGACTAATGATAAATTAATTAATGATAAATTAATGATAAAAGGAACAATAGAAAATAGATATAAACATCACAAATCAAATCACAACCATCCTGTTATTCGTCGATTGCCTTGAGCAGGCCCCCGGAACATCTCTTCGTCCTAGCCCTGATATTTTTTTAAACAGATAAACATAATATAAACATAACAGTTATAAATATTTATATAAACATAAAAGTTATAAACATAACAGTTGTAAATATTTATGTAATCAAAAAATTAATATCTAAATTTATTAAGTAAAAATTAATAGACAGAAGAACAAAGAGAGAGTGGTATAATAATTATAGTTGGCTTTAATAACTCATTAAAATGTAGGTCATTCAAATAGAAAGTTTAACAGGATACTACACTGTAGCACTCTTCTTCCATTGTTCATCGATTTACTCGAGCGGGCACCAGTAACATCTCCATTGTGAGACTTGCTGTTACTGTTTATGGCATATCGAATATGACATGGGTAGCTTGCCATGCGGGAAGTATTCCATGCAGGCAGAATACTCTCAGTAGCTTGCCAGGCTTTGGTGGCATAGTGGTTAAAAATAATACAAACAGAAAAAGCTGAATAACTTTCCTTCTAGTTTGTAAATGTGAAGGTCCTCTCAGAAGTAAATGTTCAAATCCTGAGGTAAATCCTGTGAGGTAAGCAGTCTCACTGCAGAAGCTGCTGTCCATGCTTCCAGACAAGGAGGGCACAAAGACTTGTACCTCTGCAGTGGGGCCAATTGAAATAAGAAATACTGAAATACTATTGGTGAGTCTAACAGCGCAGCTGTCTAAATCAATTTCGAAAAGTTTGACAGTGAAGGTTTAAAGGCACAAGTCTTATAAAGATTGTTTAAAATAAATTTACTCCATAGGAATAGACCCAAGGCAAGGTCTCAACTGGGTTTAGTCATTCATTTATTTACTTTTTGCTACCTAGAAATTTTCAGAGTGCTACTCCCAGTTTTGTGTTTGGAAGTTACTCCTGGCAGTGCTCAGGGTACCAGCACTGAATCTGGGCATTCCCACATACAAACCAGGTGCTCGGCCCATTATTTCTCCAGCCCATGCATTTATTTTTTAATTATTTTTAAAAGTTTCCTCCCCTTTGACAATGACCAAAATACAAAGAAAGTCTATAGAATGGAAAAGGATATTTGCCCAATACACATCTGACAAGGGGTTAATATCAAGGATATATAAAGTACTGCTTGAACTCCACAAGAAGAAAACATCTCCAACCCCATCAAAAAATGGGGCAACGAAATGAAAAGAAACTTTCTCAAAGAAGAAATCAGAATGGCAAAAAAGGCACATGAGTAAATGCCCTTCATCATTAATTATCAGAGAAATGCAGATCAAAATCACAATGAGATATCATCTGACACCACAGAGACTGGCCCACATCCAAAAGAACAAAAGCAACTAGCGCTGGTGCAGATGTGGCGAGAAAGGGACCCTCCTTCACTGCTGGTGGGAATGCCAACTGGTTCAGTCCTTTTGGAAAACAGTATGGACGATTCTCCAAAAATTAGAAATTGAGCTCCCATTTGACCCAGCAATACCACTCCTGGGAATATGTTCCAGAGAGACAAAAAAGTATAGGTGAAGTGACATATGCACTTGTTTGTTCATTACAGCACTCTTTACAATAGCCAGAATCTGGACAAAACCTGAGTGCCCAAGAACAGATGAAGAACCTTTGGTACATCTACACAATGGAGTACTATGTAGCTGTTAGAAAAGATGAAGTCATGAAATTTACATACAAGTGGTATTACATGGAAAGTATCCTGCTAAGTGAAATGAGCCAGAAAGAGAGGGATAGACATAGAAAGACTGCATTCACCTGGGGAACATAAAGTAACAAAATAGAGACTAACACCCAGGAATAGCTGAGATTAGTACTAGGAGGTTTACTCCATGGCTTGGAGGCCAGCGACATGTGCTAAGGCGAAAGGGAGCTCAAATAGAGAAGGGAGCACCAAATAAAGGGTGTCGGGAGGATCCTCCCAGGATAGAAGAAGCATGCTGAAAGTAGATATCGACAAAACATTATTGCACTCAATGCCTCTTTTGCAAACCACAACACCCAAAAGGAGAGAGAGAACAGAGGGGAATACCCTGCCACAGAGGTAGGTTGGGTTGGGGGAATGGGCGGTGTGAGGGATGCTGGGACCCGTTGTGGTGGAGGATGGGCACTGGTGGAGGGATGGGTATTTGATCATTGTATAATTGAAACCCAATAACAAAAATTTGTAAGTCTACAACTGTATCTCATGGTGTTTCACTAATAAAAATTTTTTTAAAAAGATTCCTCCCCTTTGGTGGCCTGATGTCATTTTATGACAACTTCCTTTTTCTGAAGTCCTGAAAAAAAGGAATAGTTATCAGCACATCCTTACTGGTACACTGTGGTTCAAAAAAACATTATTTCTTTTATTACTGCTTCCAATTGCTACTTAACCTGATGATGCACCTATTAGCTTCTCATCTATTTAGGAATTCTCTTAAGTAGGTGAGATTCTTAGAGATCCTAATTTGTCACCTTCCTCATGTAACATTCTGCAGTGCCCAAATTCTCAGTCACCATTCCCTTTTAGATCCACATATAAAGTTTGGATACCAACTTGCATTGCCCTAATGTTCTTTTCTGTATGCAAAGGTGTTCTCTCTAGAGAGGGACAGACATAGAAAGATTGTATTCATCTGGGGAACATCACTTAATCACTTAATGACTTAATCCCCGTTATTCGTCGATTTACTCGAGCGGGTGCCAGTAACGTC